ATTGTGATCATTCATTACCTGGCATGGCACATTACAAGAACAGAGACTTGTCCCTCAACTATCTCCAATTGCTGAAGCGTTGCTATGACAAAGACAGCAGTCTTGCCCATACCTGATTTTGCTTGACAAATGACGTCCATGCCTAAAATAGCCTGAGGAATACACTCGTGTTGCACTAAAAAAGAAATGAAAAAGATCAACATCACATCATATACTACATCAATAAGATATTTAACTGTACATGAGAAAAATATAATTTAGTAGTGTCACTAGCATGGTTACTCTCTCCAATTAATGCCCACTAGGAGCTATGGAAGGAACAGGAATATGCTATTGCCTGCTCAGCTTATCTTAGGTAAGACAGCGGCAGTAGTTTAAAAAATTAATTAATTAAAATTAATTAATGAGCATTAATTGTTATTAAAAATGAATTATGAAACAGGAAGTGAACTGCTGCTAATTAATTTTTATTAAAAAGATTTATTAAATGCATTAATACATAAAAGTCATAAAATGGCACTATGCTGAATAAAAAATAATTATTCTTAACCACACACTCAAATAAAAATAATTAAGATCAATAAATAGTATTTATTTACTTCTCTTACCTGGCATGGCACATTACAAGAATAGAGACTTGTCTGTCATAGACAAGTCTATATGGTTCCTCTTAGCCGCTGACCACGCCTTCTTTGCCCGAGAGCTACCGAATGACATCATCACTTTCTCAAGACCCTCAGAATACTCTTCCTTGGATATGGACTTACGCTTGGAGGGATTAGGATCAGTCACTGGAGTATCAGTTTTACCTGTAGAGAAGAAGGATATAAAGAGACATGTATCAATATCATTGTTTGCCTGTTATGCATGTACATGTACAAATTAATGGGCAGGAGGCCATAACTCAAAATAATTAATTTTGCAAATTTTTTGCCAATGGCTGATTTTCAAAATGGTCATAACTCAAAGAAATTAAGTCGGAATCAGCTCAAACTTTCTACATAGCATAAGGACATCAATATATATCAAAAAATGTAATAAAAATTTGGGGTGATTTCGGAGCCATTTTTTGGAAAAAACCATGGGCTATAGCCTTGGGTATTTTTCAGAAATTGATTCATTTTTTTTAAATGGCAATAACTCGAAAAGTTGAAGTCTGAATCAGCTCAAACTTGTTATGTAGCATAAGGACATCAATATGTATCAGAAAATGTAATAAAAATTTGAGGTGATTTCGGAGCTATTTTTTGAAAAAAACCATGGGCCTGTATAGAATACACAAACATTAATAGATACATGTATTCTACTGATGGCTGGCTACAGAGTCTACCATACCTTTGATATAAGGTGTCATATGAAATATATCAGTATTATGTAACTCCATAGTACCAGTCTCTTTATCAAGAACACCAATCATATACCTATATGTAAGTATTAATTACTAAATTATATCAGTTTGCAACTCACAGAGTCTTAATTTAAAAAGATTATTAATAGAGTTAATTAAAAGCTGGTAAAATCTAAGTGCGGCTACTAATTACGCATAGAAACACTAAAGGTCTTTTCACACTAACACAGTTTTGAAGCTTTTTGATGCACTTTGTTGATACAATCCACCTCTGGAGGTGAAATGAGAGTGATGTGCATTAATTGGAAACCACCCTACAAGTAGTGTGAATACAATTAATACAAATCAGTGTGCATTACTTTTGCCAGTGTGAAAAGGTCTTTAATTAAATAGTCTTGTCACATCATTTGCTAAAAGGGGTGTGGCAAAATTATAAATAATGTCATCTCTCACTTTCTAAAAGGGAAGGTGCTCATGGTTCCCTCAGTCTCGTAATTGGTACCAATGTACGTCATGTGGTCCGTCTTTGTAACCAGTGTCCTCCTCTTCATACCTTTCTCTTGATAAAGGGAATGCTTTACTTTAACATCTGAACTGGAATCAAGTCGACCATTAGAGAATGACACTATAGAGACATGTAGACTGCCTAAATGTAAATGTGTAGAAAATATAGGCTCACATAAAGGAATGGCATCCCTCTGAGAGTTTGTCTCTTGAATAGTTATCTCCATCATAAATTATTGACTGTTATATTAAAGTCATGTATTCCTCCATCTTTTAAAATCATAGTCTACACACGTGATCACACGTGACTTTCATTTGTTTTGAACTTTGAATTCAATTTATAATATCTAGATTCGAAGGGGTGGAAAAGCGAAATGGCACATAGGTCATATCACTCTTGGTTATATGAATCCAGAGATAATAGAACTGGAAGCATACAGGAAAGTGAGCAGAAGAGGCCGAGGAAGAGGCTTTCAAAAAACGTCCCGTGCTGTCTTTTTATTTTGTTCATTCTCCTTGCCTTCTCGATTTCTGCTTCTCTCTTAACGTTCAGTGCTTTCCCAGAATTTAAAACAAAAAGTAAGCAGGTAGACTTAGGAGACATCTCTGAAGGTCTAAACAGCTTTGAAGTAATTGCAATAGATAACAATGTGTCATCAGTTGAACTAACACTGATTCCGCCACCTCATGATGATGTCCAAGTGAACATTTTGACTTCTTCAACTTTGCCACCCTTATCTTTTACCACTTTAAAGGAAAATCTTCAGATTTCACCATTAACAAAAGGGCACTTTCGGACCGGCTGTAATATTCTGTCATTTGATCAGCCAATTTACCTTCAACGTGGTTCTTCATTGAAGTATAATATTACCAGTTCTAATCATGAGGTAATTAATCAATTATGTTACTTTAGTAATACCTCTGATTACATAACATTTTTGGTCGATTATACATTTAAATATGTCTCCAAATTTTGTTTCAATGTTTCTGGTAATGCTATTATTGACATTACTATAAATGAGGCCTCTCCATATTACGTTGCAATCGATATTGGTGACAATACTAACATTTCTCTTGATATAACAGTAACTCGCTTTTATTACAACACCACAATGCTGCAGAACTTAGCATCACAATGTTCATTAAATGAAAGCTTCAATTTTTCATGCATCATAAAGATTTGTGATGGATATCTGTGTGACCCCACCAAAAACAGATACCGTACGCGTCTTAATTTTCGAGGTGTATTAAATTTCGTTATTTTCGTGCTCACCTTAAATCCACGAAATTTAAAACACCTCTAATGCCATTCTATTGTATGTAGACTATGGCCAGAACACGAAAATTAGCTCACACGAATATTAACTTTTGAGCAAATTTCATTGAAAACACGAAATTTTGAACCCTCGAAAATTTGGACGTATACGGTACGTGATTGTTGAAACCTCTCATCACAATATAGTGCTGAAATATGATGCTCACAGTACATTTTATTTCAAACCAACAGTTCGTCTTATACTTTTCTCATGCGCCGTGTTTCTCGAATTGATTGCTGTTGCTATAGCTTTGACAATGGTTTACAAATTATGTAAGAAAAGAGGTATGCAATTTTTATCCTTCATTTATATTATTGGCTATTTTTAGGACCACAAACTGAGCCAAAATGTACCTGTAAAGGTAAGGCTACTTCAACAAGATTCATAGTTTCACATTTCATAGGGCGAGCCTGATGTGGGTGCGTGGGTTTGTTTATTTTCATATCACCTGTGTATAATTAATGCAAAACTGTAATTTTCCACATGTAAACTAGTTTATTTCTAAACCGGTTACAGACTGCTTTAAAGGGCCTATAGTGTAAATGTGGCTCTAATTAACTTCCACTATATTTTGTTATTCTATACTAGGTGTTATAACTGCTGTTATGGTAGTGCTGTTTCTAATGAGCCTTCATTTAATAGCAATAGCCTTTGCAACCATTAATACCTATGACTGGTTAGTCAGTAGTACCAGGCTGGTTGGAAACAAGTATCCAGTACTCTTAATGAACTCTCAAAGGTTTAATAAGTCAGTTGCAAATGTTGAGATCACCTTGTCATTTCCCAGTGCTGATTCAGTTTCTGTGTATAAAGTCCCTTGTAACCGTTTAAAAACTTCCTCCGCAAGACTGGGTCCCAAACTTGTGGTTACAAATCTACTTACAAATAAAGTTTCACGTACTGGCTTTAACTTTGACAATATTCCTTTAAATTTAGCACCTGGGTCTACAGTTACTTACAGGATTGCAAACACATTGCCTCTTGACTCAAGTTCATGTATTTCTCTTGTCTTTATGAATTCAGCTGTAGCATATGATGAGTTTCTTTACATACAAACCAATTTTACAAACTATGTATTTCATTCAGATTGTTTGACAAATGGTAATACTACTATTATAAGCTTCCTAGTCAAAGATGAGCAGAATGATTATTATGTTGGCATTGAAAGCAATATTAGCAATGAAGCCAATGCTGACATCATCACTGTTAGTGCTGAGGTTTCTGTGCTTCAGGTGTACTATAATTTGTCAAATACAGAAGTATACACCAGCCTGTCAGTAAATAAGACATCCTGCAGTGTCAGGGTGTGTGAAACTTTTCTTTGTCTTGACCGACATCATGTGTGTGTACTTGTTAATTCAACAAGTTTTGAGTTTATTTCTTATTCCAGTCATCCTGCTATCACCACTATTAGATCTACACCTCGTGTTTTTGGTTTTCTAGCCATTGTTTCGTGTGCTTTCTTTTTAATTTTGTTTATATCTGTTTCCTTTGGCTATTGTATTAAGGAAAAAGATGCTGTCAGTTGAAAAATTTTGTCAAACAGAAAAAGGAGCATTTTAATAAGTATGTAAATTTAATTCAAATATAATTATAATGATTTTGTGTGTATTTCAGGTATTTTTATTGGCATCATGATATTTGAAGGTGTATTTCTTCCTATTGTTCTTTCTTACTCAATCAAATTCTATGGGAAAACATGGATAAACAACACTAAAGATTTTGTTTTAGTTAATTTACATCAGTCAGGCTCTATTAAGTGGGTTAATACACATGATATTGCTTTCTCAGTAGAAACTGACTCAGCAAATTCTCCTGACATTAGTTTATACACTGTTAACTGTAGTGAAGTTGATCATATTACTTTGGTGAATAAAAGTGAAATAGAATGTCAAAATTTCAGTAGTTTCTGTGTACTCAATGAGTCTATCTACTTAGTGAAAGCTGAGAAGAACTATGTTAATTACAATATATCATTATTCTCAAATATTAGTGGCCTTCCGTTTCGTGTTTCAACCTTCGATGACTATGAGCAATATGAAAATTTTCTTGCAAAAAGGATTTATACTCCATTAAACTAAAGTTCTTTGTTTACCGGCAATGAAACCTTCAATTTTAGTTTTTCAAATATTTACATGACTCAAAAGGCTGCCTACTATCACTTTGTACTGCACCCTGCATTTCAAACTGATGTATTTACTCACACCAAGTACTATTATACTAGTAGTTCAGTGCAAGTGGAAAGCAGTATCAGCCATTATAAATTAAACAACAATTACAGACCTCATTGTAATATTACAAAAAACTCTACTTCCATTTGCCGCAGCTCCATAACAGACAATATCTGTGTCGTGGCAAGAGCAAATATGTTGGAAAAACCAGTTCTTCTTGTCGCAAAAACAACAAATGTATTTTCGAGCGTATTTGTAACTTTTGTACCTGGTCTAGCACTAGTTATTATTTCTGTTGTTATTGTCCTTGCATTCATAGTTTGGAGGAATCATTTATGCTCTAAGTTATTGATGAAATTCCTACATTATGAACCCCTGATAAATACAAAAGGTATATAGGTCTAAACTAGATAACGATAATGTGTAATCATGACTATTTTTATACAATCCATTATCATAGTTTTGTTCAAATTATGGTGGTAAAAATAATTATTATTTGATTGTATACTTTTTATAATTAGATAATGAATCAGAAATAGAAGGTCAATTCACAAGACAAGATGAATCAGAAGAACAACCAGGTAGATTATTTATTGTAAGATCAATTTAACTGATGCTCAACCAAATAGACAGCCTACTAAAATTTTATTCTATAGGTAGTGCACTAGCACAAGAAGGTCAATTAGCAAGAGATAGTCAGCAATCAGGTATAGACCATTGTGTACAGCTTTTGCTTTGGCAATTCAACTTATATGATTCCAATTACACTTGTGATAAAATGTTATTATATGTTTACCATAGATGAATTAGCAACAGAAGATGAATCAACAAAACAGGATGATCAAGCAGGT